TGCGGGCGGCCTTCGCGGGGCCTGGCGCCAGCTGCACCGGCCGCAGTTTTAACTCGGCGCTTTTGCAGGAGTGGGGAGGGGCCGGGGGGTTCGGCCCGCTCCGCTAGCTACTACCTCGTCCGGCACGACTTCTGAACTCAATTGGAACTCTTCATCTCTTGATATCTGATTTTGCAATACAAAGTAAGGAATACCAGTTCTTCTTGGTGGAAACTTAATCAATTGCTGTGCTGTGTACTGCTCATCCAGCATGTTCAGAAAACAAAATTAAATTATTAGCCTGCAATATCTCTTCTAAAATATATATCTTCAGAGATCAAAATGTAGTGCTTGCTGACTGACCATCCTAAGTGGCCTGAACAGTTCCACAAACACTGCATGTCTGAAAAAGGTGCCTTCTAGGGAAACCCGGATGATCTTTCACCCCATGGCCACTGGAATGGAGAATGTGTAGTAGATTCCTTTTTTCCTCCCCAAAAGCTATTAGTGATCAGCCAGGTGTGCAGACTTCAAAGGCGACAAATACTTGCTGGGCTGACAAAGAGACCTCATTTGGGAGTTGGTTTCCCTCATGCGCTGTCTGACGGGCTTGGCTGGTTTAAAATAAAAACAAAATATAACAATAAAGCAAAGAAAGTGACCTGAAGGTGTTCAGACTAACATCTCTGTACTAGCCAACATTCTTCTTGGAAAATACAGAATGATATTTCATAATTTATTGCTTTAGTATGTTTGGTTTATATTTTTATTTAAGTTTAGGTTCTGCTATTCTCTGTGAAAAGACAGTGTCCTCTTGTTTAGTAGGGGGACAGCGATAGCTGTCATCACCTGGAGAAATCGTTACTTGCATTCTGCATCCAACAGGGGCAGTAATGGCTATGAAAAGTTACTGGGAATGTTTCCTTTGTGGAGCCATGAGCAACACCTAAACAGAATGTCCAGAGGCACAGTGGCAGAAACTGGCGAAAATGCCCTGTCTTACCCTCAGTGATTAAAATACTGTTTTCTCTATCCTAGAGGATTTTAATATCATCTACTATCTTCTCCACGCTGTTGGTAACTCCAGGTTTGGACTGCGTATTTGATGAAAAGGCGTTGACTTGAGTCTGAGCTTATCTGTGTGAGAAGTGTTGTACACAACAGTTCTGACCTCTAATGGTCAGAAAGAGCAGTATTCTCTGAGGCACTTTTTGCAAGGATTGCGATATGCTGGTTTGTCATGACTGGAAGAGTGACACTGAAAATCTGTAAAGACCCTATCCACCTTTTTTTTCTACCCTAGTGAGTGTGTCTTTCCACTCCAAATCACAGGGAAGATTGTTTTTAATAGGACTTCCGAGTGACATGCAGAAAAAGAACATGATTTAATTTTTAAAAATTCTTATATTTAAATTTTTTAGATAGTCTAAACCACTTTTGAATTAACTTTAAAAGCTTGTTGCAGGACGATTTTGAGAAAGAAGAGGCCAAGAGATTGTAGACGCTATAGTGAAGTTTAGATTCCATGCTGTTTCAGGAACTCCTCCTGTGTTTGTAATCACTCTGTTTTAGCTACACAGAAACACAAGGTGTTAGATTTAGTACCTGGAAATGAGGAGAGGCGGTCATTTCTGAGGTAAGAAATCATCATTTGGGGTGGGACTGAGGATGCTGTCTTTCTTATTGCAGGCAAAACGAGCAGTGCAGCGAGGAGCTACAGCGGTCATCTTTGATGTTTCTGAAAACCCAGATGCCATTGATCAGGTATGAAGAAGGGAGCCGAGTTTTGTTACAGCCTCTATCAGGTTCTTTTTAGAGTTGCTGAGACAAGACTTGGCAGCATACAGCTCTCAGAGCACACCCACCTTAAGACATGTAGCTACTGACTGCGTAACGTCATCCTGTGGTTTTCATGCTCATCTTCTGGCAGGCAAAGGAGCAATGGAAGTGTTGATAATGTGCCAGAAAGAGAAGAGTTTGGGGAGTTACATTTTTCTTTTAACCTTCACTAGAATCCAGAATCCAAGCCTGGGATTGAGTTTTTGAGAAGGGATGGAGGCAAAATTTTTGTGGCCCATTGTCTCATGGCTAAAGCCCTGAGCAGCCCGGTTTGATGTCATAGATGACCCTGTCTTGACCAGGAGGTTGGAATTGTGGGGTGCCTTCCCACCCACATTATTTTCTGATTCTGTGATTTGACCTTTCAGAAAAACTTATCTGGACCTGGAAGGAAGTTTCAGGATTAATTAAGCTATCTACTCGTATGCTTTTGTCTTTGAGGCTCCCATCATGCAGTCAATAGCTCTGGTGATTGCTAGAACCCAAATAACTGTTTGAATGAGTTTGCTGAGTTAAACAGTGGAAATTACAGACTTTAATAAATTGGCTAGGTACAAAGAGCCTGAAAGTTAGGACTGTGATGTGTGATTGTTCAGAAAGCTGAAGAAATTTTTATGTAAATAATATAACTACAAGGCTGAAATTACAAAAAGTTTAAAAAATGTAGCAAGGCCTTTTTTTTTTTTTTTTAATTTGCAGATTTTTCTTCTTCATGGTGAGGTTTATCTTATCACAGCATTAATATACACAGTGGCATATAATGTGGTGGAGTTAAAGCTGCTGTTCGGAAATAACATTTGTTTATCCTTAATTTTAGTTAGTAAAACAAAAAAAAAAGCAGCTGAAGTAAAAAGTGTTAATTCAGGTTTAACTCTGTGGAGTACTTAAGTGAAGGCCGACGCTAGATGAGAACAACTGGTGCTTGAATCAATTCCACATTCATATTTCTTTACTCTTCTCTCTGTTGTCTAAAAGAGAGGTAGTTTTCCTGAAATGTGCCTCTTGAGTAGGTTATTTTTCTGTTCTAGCTGAACCAGGGCTCAGAAGACCCTCTGAAGAGACCAGTGGTGTATGTGAAGGGTGCTGATGCTGTCAAGCTAATGAACATAGTTAACAAGCAGAAAGTGGCACGAGCAAGGATTCAGCATCGTCCCCCACGGGTGAGACTTTCAGAAACCTTGTGTAGGTGTTCCCTTGCTGTTACTTCCTGCAGTGTGTGCCAGCTGCACTCAGCCTGAAGGTGTTCTGGTGCTCCTCAGGAGCGTTAGTACATGTGAAATTCTGTTGGACTAAATACATTGAACAACTGCACTGTGGAAAAGCAGCTACACGTGATGTAAGTGTAGAATCCACAGTGTAGCACCTGCTGTCTTTCCTAAGGATTATTTTGTATACATAAATGGCTAAAAATGTTAACTAGCAGAAGTTTTCCTTTTTCTTAGTTGAGTAACTTAATTATTGCACACTCCTGGTAGTTCAGATTTGTAAGGTAGTCTGCCCTGTATTAAGCAATGATTCTGTGTGGCATTTTAAACATGAGTTAATTATTTGATAGTGTCACGGTCCGCTCAACTCGGCGGACGGGTGACGGTTCGTTTACCACGATCTCAGAGTGCAAAAGAAAATTCAAAGGGAGTTGTTACTTCAATCAAACAGTGAAACTTTATTGTGTGCCCGTAAAGCGGCGCGCGACAGGTAAAGGTGTGGCAGGAAAGGTAAAGTAGGAGGGGAAAGAGAGTAACAGCTCCCACCACGGGTCCAAGGCGTCCCTATGGTCCCAGGTCCTTGCAGCGTCCCGCTGGTCCTTCTGATCGTCGTGATCCTCGGTGGGGAAACCTTCCCTGGTGGGGAAACCTTCCCTGGTGGGGAAACCTTCCCTGGTGGGTCAATTCTGACCGACTCTTACAGATAGCTGATATTTGTAGTTGTAATATAAAATAGTTTCTCTGGACTTTTTTTTTAAACACTTTCTACATGTAGCTTACCAGAGAAGAACAAAGTTAGAGGTCATCCATGTCCCAGTTACCACTTCAGGGTTTTTTTTGCATTATTATGGAATTCTTCTGTTAAGAAATGTATTTGAAAACTGGGCCATTCACTGAAAATTCAAATGTTGATTTTCACTCACTTAAGTATACAAGTGAACCAATAAATCATGAAAATTTGTGTTAGTGTGATTCATTCAGTTAAAAAAAAATGGGGTTTGTGGGATTGGTTCGAGACACTGTGAATCTGACATCTTATGACTGGGATTCTGTGTATTTCAGTCACTTGCACTGACATATGAAACACAGGTTTGGTCTCATAAAATCCTGTTTAATGACTGGAACATTGTGCACTTTGGCTTTTGCCATTGTGACTGCATACATTTGATGATGACCATTGAGAAAGCAGAGAAGAGAAAGAAACACCACATTTGAGTATGACCTAAAGAGAGGAAAAATAATATTTTTGTTTCAATCTTTAAGCAACCCACCGAGTACTTTGATATGGGAATTTTCCTGGCCTTCTTTGTCGTTGTGTCACTTGTTTGCCTCATTCTTCTTGTCAAGATTAAGCTGAAACAGCGACGTAGTCAGGTAAGAGCAGTAATGGGGTATTCACTGAATGCTCTGACTTTGTCTTAAAACTTGCTCACTATGTTTGGAAATGCCAGACACTAACTTACAATAGGCATCTTTGTGGAAAGGGTCTTATCCATGGATGTAGGCCTTTGGAAAAATTTGGTTATGTCTTTAAAGGTCAACATTGACTTATGATGTTCACTCAGTTAAATCCTGAAATGATAAGAGTATGGGTTATTCAGAGGCTGGTTATCAGTAGCACTGATGTACATCTAAAGAAGTCTGGGCTCTTGTTGCTGTATTGCAGAGTGAATATCAGGACTGAAAATAAATTACAACTCTTCAAAAGAATAAATTCTGTTAATTCTTATAAAGTGGGAAGTTTGCAAGGTAAAATATTTGGTTAGGAGAAATTCTAGGTGAGATGGTTTGAGTTTGTCCTGTCAAATGTGAAAGGGAAAGCAACCAGAAAATAATGGACTCTGAAATTTGTAGTTGTAAACTGTCCAGTATATACACGTATAAGGAATGCAAAGCACTATGGATGCTTAGGATTCTTGTTTTGGACATAATGAATAGGAATCCAAAGATGTCATGGGGCCAATAGCAGTTTTAAAAAACTGTGTTAAAAAGGAAGATGATAAATTCTACAGTAAAGTTTAAACAACCCAATTCCTTCCTAAACTTCTACTGTTGATTAAATTTGAGAGGAGGGGCAAGTGATACAGCTAACTTAGTAAAATTTCATTTTAATCTCTCTGCCAAGTACTGCTTCTGCTAATATGGTGGTAACAGCATAATGGGGCATTCCAGTCAATACTGACAGTTCCAAAAAAGTTCCTGGCCAAATCTTACATGTTGCCTTGAATAGCTGCTGGCCATCAGTTGAGCAGTTGCAGTGTATCCCAGTTGCCAGCCTGTTTCACTCAAAGTAGTTTATCATTCTCACTACTGCATGTGGCATACATTCTTTTCAAAAGGTCTCTGATTTAAATTCTAATTAGCTTTCTCCCTGCTTAATTTATGAAATAAATTTATGAAATTGTACATTACACTAGACCTGGCATAATTTGGTAAGATACATTAATTTGATGCGGTGGTGTTTCTCTGTTATTACACTATATTCCCTTATATAGCAGTGTTGCCTTTTTTTTTCTTCTTTTTTTTCCTTTTTTTCTTTTTTTCTTTCATCTGTTGTAGAATTCCATGAACAGGCTTGCAGTGCAAGCGCTGGAAAAAATGGAGACCAGGAAGTTTAAGTCCAAAAGTAAGGGACACCAAGAAGGTAGCTGTGGAGCACTGGACACACTCAGCAGCAGTTCCACCTCTGACTGTGCCATCTGCTTGGAGAAGTACATTGATGGGGAGGTAAAGGACAAATGGTTTCTTTAACCTGGACTGAGAACGTAGCTGGTTTATTTTAGCACTGTGGTGCATGGCTTTGCTGCTGGGTGTGTTGTGTGCTGAGGCTGTGCTGCTTGCCAAACTGACTGTGCTGAGCAGCCCGTTCAGCCTCAGCTGCACTCTGCAGCTCCCAAAGAAACCTCAAGGACTCTTCCCTATACTGCAAAGTGAGAGGTGCGGGATCTCATTCTGCAAATTACTTCATCAAGTTGCTTTTCTGAGGAAGAGCTTGTAAAGAAGTCACGGTTGCCTCAAGCATGTAGTTCTCTGAGTATTTTTAGCAAATTGTGTGCTAATATGGTGGTACATTCAAGCTCTGATGAATATAAGGAATAGATTCAGTGTTTTGGCTTCTCAAGCTTTGATGGCACCTTGTCATTAAAATGCCAGGTACACAGCACTGCAGAGAAGCCCAAGGAGGAGGTGCCAGAAGGCTCAGGAAGTGGTTTCTGACTCTTCGGTCACTACTGCTGTATCGATGTCAGTGCTTGCCTTCTGTGACATCGTTCTACCCAGAGGAAGCAATGAAAGGACAAAATAGAAAGTAGAAAATAGAGGCAGTCAATAATAACAGCATTAAACTTCCATATAAAAAAATTATTTGGGGGCATTTTTAAAGGATTCATCATTTTTAAGGCAACAGAAAATGCCAACTGCAGTATTTGAGCGAACAAGCTACAAACAGACAGTTAACACTTTTATTAAGTTTTTTTAATTTTTTTTTAATAAAAATGGGAAATTATTCAGAGTAGCAAGGATAAAGGCAGGCAAGACCTCCAAAGGTCTATGCAAAACTGACTGGACAGGAAACTTATGCATGATCTTCAACATGAAGTGTTATACATAGGGAAAAGCTTCACATGTATTGGTGATGGGTTGAAGTCAACATTACTTGTTCAGAATCAAGATCTTGAAGCTGTTTTAGATAGCATTGTGAAAGCAAGTCTGTGCCGTGTTGCTGTCAAAGAGGCAAATCTGATCTTGCAAACGAGTCAAAATCTAGAGAACTGAACAGAAAACATAATTACACCAGTGTGTGCATTCAGTCATGCTCTCATGTTGAGTACTGTGTACACTTCTGATCTCATTTCACAAAACGTAGGTTGGAAATGAAGCTGCTTCAGAAAAGGGCAGTCACAAAGTGATCAGAGATTTGGAGTGATTTCTGTACAAAAAAAATGACTGGGTAGGCTAGGACTGTCTAGTCCTAGATTACTTGAGGGTGGAAGGAGTACAAAGTTGTGAATGGAGAGTGTGAACAGGAATCTGACATTTATTTTTTTCCAGTACAAAACTGGGTGGAATGAAATTAAACTGCTAGTACCTAGTCTGAACAAAAATATGTTGTTTCTCTACTAGCGGGTAGTAGTCCTGTGGAACTTCTTGCCAAAGCATGTTACAAACTCAAAACCTGAGCTCATGAAGAGACTTGAACAGTACCTGGAGGAAAGATCTGTTTTAGGTTTCAACTGATAGGTACCCAGCAGGCTCAGGAAATCCTATAAATAGATAACAGCTGAAAGATGAGAGTGGTGGGCAAGGGAAACAGTAATAGGCTTCTTCCAGGTGTTAGGTCATAGGGACACACAGTAAAAAATGTCCTAAAGAAATGTAGTCTGTAGTTTTCACATGCTTGCAGACTATTCTTTTAGTGACAGCTGATCAAGCTGTGCTTTTGGCTGTGTTGGAACCGAAGGTATTTTTTTCTTTCTTATCACTTTGAGAGAATGAAAGGTCTTTTCAGTAGCTAGGTTTTAAAAACGAGGAGTAAGCTGTGAAAAGTTCACTTACTGGGAAGGAATACTTTTTTGTGATCCTTCGTGTGTTCTCTGTAGGAACTGCGTGTCATTCCCTGCACTCACCGATTCCACAAGAGGTGTGTGGACCCCTGGCTGCTGCAGCATCACACCTGCCCTCACTGCCGCCACAACATCATCGGTGAGTGCTGCAGGCCGGGTGCTCTCCGGCCTCCTCCGTCGCAGGCCTCGGGGCTTACAGGAGGAAGCAGAAATGGTGCCTTTTTGTGAATCTCCATAGGGCTCATCGTCTTTACTGCAGTCCTAGAAATACAGTCAGAACTAAGTGATTCGGGAATGCCTGTGTGGCCTGGGAGAGCAGGTCCCAGCTCTGGTGTTCCCTCGTTCTGGCGCGGTGCTCAGCAGAGGGCAGCGTTGGGCAGCACCTGGATGCAAGGAGGGCACATAGATACTGAAGATCGTGTATTTTTTCTTAGTCACTATAAGGAAAAGACAATGTGTTGCTTTTTATATTCCTACAGTTATGACTTGGAATGTGGTTTCCCTTACTTGCCCTTTCCATTTCCTCTCTCTTGAAAAAGTTTTCTGTTAATACACATTTTTGTGAAATTCTGTAAAATGGAAATGTAAGCAAGGACTGCCAGCCTTCTCTTAGCCTGCAAGAGCAGAAATACTGTGTGAGCAGAAAGGTTGCCATATATCAGAACAGCATCTGAAATTACTTCCTTTCATTTTAAGCAAATATGGTTGCATCTCAAAGGCTTCCAGGCGGGTGCTCTTGACTTATTTTGTTTGGTTTGTTATTTTTCTTTCCGTTTAAAAAGTCGGTGACTTTTTTTTTTTTTTTTTTTCCCAGTCTTTTGTGTGCATAAGGTAATGAAATTCGGAACAAAATATCCTCCTTTCTTGCATTAAATACATTCCTTTTTATTCTCTCCTACTTCTACTTCTCCACTCTTTATTTGTATCCTTCAGAACAGAAGAAGGGAAATGCAGGCCCGGTCTGCCTGGAGTCCATCAACCCAGCACGCAGCCGCCAGCAGAGGGTAATTCTGCCTGTCCATTACCCAGGCCGAGTGCACAGAGCAAACCAGATGACCGCGTATCCCACTCGGACGAGCATGGACCCTCACGGGAACCCCATCACAGTACTGACCGTTGAGCGACACGGGGAGCAGAGCCTCTACCAGACCCCACCCCCAGCCTATATCCGAAGTTATCAGCCTATTCGTTTGGACCATGCTTTAAACACACATCACTGTAGCCTGGAACACAGGACTTACTCTCCAGGTCACAACTTCCGAAGACCCAAGTTCAGTGGACGCAACTTTTCCAAAGCAGCGTGTTTTTCCCAATATGAGACCATGTATCAGCACTACTATTTCCAAGGCCTTAGTTACCCTGAGCAAGATGGACAGCTTCCTGCTGGCATTTCCTCAAAGGGTCCTTCTCGTGCCTTTCAGCCTGGTAGCAGCATGCTTTTCCCTCCTGTGGTACATGTCGTGCCCTCATCCCACTTGGAGAGTGGCAGTACCTCCAGCTTTAGCTGCTACCATGGCCATCGTTCGGTGTGCAGTGGGTATTTGGCTGACTGCCCTGGGAGCGACAGCAGCAGCAGCAGTTCTGGTCAGTGCCACTGCTCCTCCAGTGATTCCATGGTTGACTGCACTGAGGTCAGCAACCAGGGGGTGTACGGGAGCTGCTCCACCTTCCGCAGCTCTCTGAGCAGTGACTATGACCCCTATGTTTACCGCAGTAAGAGCCCCTGCCGAGCGGGCGAGGCCGGTGGTGCAAACAGGGGTGCAATTGTTCTCTTGGAGGGCCCCCACCAGGATGAGCTTCCAGCTCATGGTCACAGTCTGGTGGGTGCTGACTGCCGGCCTGTGCCAGCTTCTTCCTCAGGGGACCAACTGTCTAATTGCAGCATGGATATGAACTATAGCAGTAATTCCTCACTAGAGCACAGGGATCCAAATGGCACTACCTCAGAGGGAGGACATGAGGCCACTCCTGGTGCTGCCTTGGATGTTAAAAGGAACTGGAAGAATCCAGAGATAGCAGGGCCACTTGTGGAGCAAGCATGTGCGTGCTGCTTTGAACTGCAGCACTCTGCCCTGGAGCCTGGCCACGGGACAGCCGACTGTGGTGCACTCTTCCTGAGCTCCCCACTGTGGGGGACCTGTGGCCCAGGAGTAGAACCGCAGCCAGGGAACACCCCGGGCTTGTACAGTATTAATTCAGACCACTTGCATAGGACAGATGGAGTAAATTACGAGGGTTTGCCCTGCTGCTTCTATGAAGAGAAGCAGGTAGCTTGTGGTAGCAACAGTGGCAGTGGAGGTGGTGGGTGCTACACAGAAGACTATGCAGTGAATGTGCAGTACACGCTCCCCGATGACACCTTGCCAAGCTGCTGTAAGGGGGTATGTGATCTGGGCCAACGCATCCCCATCATTCCTGAAGACAGAGACTGTGAGTTGTTCGTACCTGCAGAGTGCCAAGGGACTCACGCAGGAGGCTGTAGCTCCTGGGATGGAGCACCTGAGCTGGATGCTTATCTGCACTGCCAAGGTATGAGAGAGGTGAAGGACGAGCGGGAGGTGTGCTATGAGGCAACATCGTTCCTGCGGCAGAGCTGCTCTCAGGAGGAGGAACCTGGGATTCTCTTTCCCAGTCCTGCTCTGAATTCCCGGAAGCTGATGGCCACCACAAAGGCTGCAGGTAATGCATGTGTTTTTTTCCTGATTACTCGTTACCTTTCTGTCCCAGCGTATGAAATGCTGCAACTTCCTAGGTACCTGCAAACCATAAAGGTTACTGCCATCCTTTGTGTAAGAGCAGGTTATTGACTCATCCATCACCCACAAGTGTGATTCTTTTGTTACCTGTGCTCATTTGGTCATAGCTAGAGGAGTAGAAGATGATACTTTAATATCTAACCCCATAAGAGCTTTTGTACTCATCCTTTGTGGGGAAGGGAAAGAAGTGACTGCTAGTACCAGGCCCCCTTTAGAGCTCCCACAGCCAGGGACACTGTGCCAGTCACGGCAGCTGTGGCAAGCTACCTAAGTAGGCAAGGCCACAGTGCTGGGGGAGGACAGACAAGTTGAAGGATAAAAAATATGAGGGAAAAACTTGGAATTGCTGTAGAAGAATATGTGGGACAGTCTCTGCAGTGGACATATACAGAGCAAAAAAGAATGACTCAAAGCATGAAGGGGTTGTTCCTTACCTGCCTTGCCAGGGTTGTTTATAAGGCTGTTCATAAGGCTGTTCATAGAATCACAGGGTATCCTAGGTTGGGAAGGACCTCAGGCTGTCACTTAGTCCAACCTCCTGCTCAAAGCAGGGCCAGCTCTGAGATCAGACCAAGTTACTCCGTTTGTCAGATTAGACCAAGCTTGTCCAGTCAGGCCAGGACAACCTCTAGGGATATAGACTGCATTCAGTCTCTGGGCCCTTGTTGCTTCACTGCAATCATGGTGAAAAGATTTTCTTTATATCCATTCTGAACATCTCCATTTCAGCTTAAGCTCCTTACCTCTTCTCCAAAACGCATCACTGTGAAGACCCTGGCTCTATCTTTGTGACAACCCCCATGTAGGTACTGGAGAGTTGGTAGGGTATGCACCCAAAGCCTTCTCTTCTGCAGGCTGCACAAGCCCCAGCCCCACAGCCTCTTCTCACAGGGTGGGTGCTTCAGCCCTCTGAGCATCTTGGCTCTCTGCTGAACTTACTCCAGTCAGTCAATGTCTTGTTCTGAGGCCCCAGAACTTTATGCAGTATTCTAGATGCAATGTTCCTTAGTTTTCTTTATCCTTCAGGTGCTGGATCTCATCCCTTGGAGAGAAGTCAAGTTGGTGACTAGATCTGTCCAGATGATCCCGGATGGAGAAGCAGAGCTTATCAGAGACTCAGAATTGTCATGGACTTTACTTCTTTTAAGCGTTGACAAACACGCAAAAGTGGTAATGTGGAGAAGTCCCTCTCCCACTTCCCCTTCCTCTGTGTCCACATCAGCTTAATTGTCTCCTTTGTCCTTCTTGCCTGAAGTCTTCAGGCCTCCATTTGTGTGCAAAGCCCATATGGGACATGGTGTGGAGCATTTCTGAGCTCTAGTGCTATTTCTATATTAATGACAAAGTGTTATTTATATTTTCTGTTTAGCAGAGGGCGTGTCAGCTCTTGCTGGATGTGACACGGTGTGTTAAATACGCCAGGCTATGTGTAGATGCTGTTATCTCCTACTTAAAGGAGTCCAGCCTTCGATAAGCTCAGGGCTACACCTGCCTTAGAAACCAGATAGCACCTTGAAATATAGTAGTCCAGAGGGGTACAGCTGCTTAATGGATGCTCAGATGCCAACTAAGCCTAGTAGCCAGCAAGTTGTATGAGCAATTTTGAAGGAGCTAAAGCATTGGATTGTCTCCTTTCTCCTCTCCTTTTCTCCCCCTTTCATGCTGCTCTGATGATTTGGCTAGGAAGGGTCTCCTGCCATTATGATTAGTTTTAACAGAGTGGGAGTTGGGAAACTGGTAGCTCAGAATGTTCTCATCCTCACTTCCTGCTAAATCATGGACCTCATTGTATCTTCTGGTTGGTGAAGAATGCTGAGGACCTCTCCCTCAAGCAGATGTTAGAAGAAGGTGCTTAGAAAGGGTAATACCTTTGTAGGTAATGAACCTTGCCTTCCATGAGAAGTTTTTCAGGCACCTGTAGCCACTGTTATGGCTGTGAGGGATGCTGGCATGTGCAGAGCTTGCAAGGTGCTTGCAGCTTGGCTGGCACATTTTGGAAACAGGTCAGAGGGTGTCTTATTTCCTTGTAGACTGCAGGCATGACTGAGGGTAGCAGTGCTTGTCACCTCTTCTGCATGTGGGAAAGTGAGGGACTTGGTTTTAATCCTTGTTTTCTTCTTTGCTGTGGTTGATGTAGCTTCCATAGATTGATGTCTTTTAAAGGTTTCCTAAGCCCAGCCAGTTGTGCTTAATTTTTGTCTTGTGTACAGAATGCTCTCTGTACCCCATGAGCCTGGGCACATACTTTTGTTTTTGTTCTTGTACAAGTGGGGATGTTTGTTATCATGAGATAATATGTCGTCACTTCCAATAGCAATTGTTTCCTGTGGAAACAGTGGCTTCTGAGTAAGAGGCTACCATAGCATGGTTTAAATTGCCTGTCATGCTGCATGTGCCTGAGGACACAGTGTCATCCTGTCTGGTGTATCACAGCAGGAGTTCTCCTAAAGGGAAACAAATTATTTAATGCCCATAGTGCCTGTCTTCTGAAAAGATTTGTCCAGAGTTCAGTACACTTTGGAGACAGCTAAAAGACATGAAAAAGAGATGTACACTTCATGTTACATTTTCTGCCAAAGTAATGTCTGGGGGAGCACTGGGCTAATTGTGAGAACCAGCAAAGTTAACTTGTTTGCTTTACAGTCCCAAATGGAATATTATAAAAGAAGCAAACATCTAATAACTAACAAGTACATTAATCTGTTTACTTTTAATTTCTGGACTCAAGAAGTTAGGAAAAAATAATTCTATTTAAAGGAATTAACATTACATTTTTTTAAATGGACAAACACCAAAATCTGACTGTTCAGAGAATTAATGCAAGGCAATGTCTGGGTATAAGATTAAAAGAAAAATTCCAATAAACACATTTCTGTTTATAAAGCTTATTGAAAACTTATTCTCTGGGTGACTGAAGCAAGTGGTGTGCGTTGGGAGGATAAACTTTAAAGGTCTGGAGTTTTTGTTTGGTTGGTTTTTAAGTCTTACCTTTCTCCTTCCCCCACTCAGAGGAGATGCATTGTAGGAGGTATGGTATACTGCCCTGGTTATTCTCCTGGGTGTTTTGTGAGGCACTGTTTAAGGCCACCTCAGATGCATTGTACTCTAGAACTACACAGCATGTTGTGGTTAAGTGTGCTTATAAAGAAGAAATTTGAGTATTCTAGCTGGTGTTCCTGGATGTACTGTTCTCATTCACACGTTGTGATCTCTGCCCATGTCACAGTCTCTGCAGGTCTTACCACGGAGGGACCCTACACCCGGTTCCTGTGTTTGGTTTATGTTCAACATTTAGTTAATTCTTGGTATGGAATTTACCTGTATGTCCATACAGACTTACAGGCTACCTGGCCATGATGGATGGTTTTTATAACAAAATGCCTTTCTACTACTTACATGAACAGTTGTTGTTGTGTTTGGCTCATGAGGCACTATTTAAAATGTTTTTAATTAAAGTTATCTTATAGCACTTAAAATTGTTTTGTATAAACTTTGCTGTAAAGATTTGTAATATGGTCAAAGGGCTCTTTCTCCTTCATTACCATGTTTTGAAATGTTTGAAAAGCTAGAAAACTTCTTGTACATATTCTGTATATGTATAGCAGCACATTTCATTTATGGAAATATGTTCTCAGAATATTTATTTACTAATATATTTATCTTAAGCCATGTCTTATGTTGAGAGTGTGTGACATTATTGTAATAATCATTGAAAATCACTAACATGAGGCCCTGTAAATATATGATAATTGCACACAAAGATTTTACAGTTCTTGCTGACCAAAAATGATTTAAGAGAAGCTGTAGTTCCCTGGGGTTTTGTAAGAAAGTGTACAGATGTCTGTATTAAAAAAAAAAAAAAAAAAAAGGCGGCAAAACCACACAAAAAATACAGTTTTATTGCATCCACTTGTGGAAGTTGTGCTTCTTGTCGGGGGGTGGGGAAGGACATGGATAGCCGTGCTCCTCAAAGTATGGTCCATGGATATATTGGGATGAAGCATTAAAAACTATATTTTCTCCTTTTTTAAAATAATAGGTGGGTATGTATATACGTACACAGATCCTAACAAAAATTATCATAATTAAAAAGTGGGTTTGTGTTTTTTTGTTTTTTTTTTCTGGAGGCAACCCATCCTACACTGTCTCAGGACCCTTCAGCAAGTGCCACAATTGAACATCCAACAGAAATTAGCTTCTTTTACCTGTTATTGTGTGCAGTGTAGTTCCAGTACTTAACAGTTTTAGCTGCCTTCCTCATAACCACCAACAGTCCAGCTGGATCCAGGTCCTTACATGGTATCACAGGCCCTACCACAGGAAAGCATCAATGCTGTGCTGTTCTCTGTTGGCAGAAGCCAGAACTTCTCCAGAGATGTTTATGTAGGCAGCAAGAGAGGGGTGTGGATAGCAACCTCTGTGTGTGTGTGTGTGGATGTATTTTTATAAGTTAGTGTGTAAATAGTTTGCCTCCATACATTATTTCCCATCCAGTGATACACACACACACACAAAAAATCCTTTCCAGTCTCGTCCTCCAGTTTCTTCCTTCTCCCAAAGTTTTTTTCATCTGGCAATCCCCCGACTGGAATTCCCCTCCTCTCATCCCTGTTCAAGTGCACTGTAATTTAGTCACCCCAGCATTCAGCCAAGAAATAAGCTTTACCTTCTCTATAACCTCCTATTTTGTATGTGAAAACTGTGTTTGGGGTGACAGACTGTTGAACTGAAGAGTGTAATTTCTCCTGAGACTCTTTCTGGCGTAAGGCTCAGTTGCCATCTGCAGCTCAGCTAGCAGGGGAGAGCCTGGTCTGTAGAAGACAGGCACAATCATGGAAGAGCAACAGGCAGGACAGAGTTAACCAACAACCTTCCCAGATTGAAGCATGTGCCCTTTTTTTGCATCGTGAATAGAATCTTGGGAACTGCCAATGACTGTAGATACACAATTTATTTGCAAATTAGTTCATTAAACAGTTGTTCTTAAAAATGGCATAAAAATTGCCATATGTGTTTGGCTTGTATGCCTATTTTGGCAGATCACACCCGAGTCTCCCTCTAGTGCTAACCACAATTTTCTGCTACTAATGTTTTGTTTTCTCATTGCTTGTTCTGAGTAAAACTGAGGTGATTGTGCTTTTAAGAACAGAACTTACCTTTGTCCTTCTGTCCCACAAAAATAATCCGTGAGTCCATGCTCGCTTTGAGAAAGATAGCTGTGGGCTCTTGGCTGACCTTGAATGTGATGCCTAATTTTGGGTGTGGCTATTCTGTCTCTTGAGGAGTTTATGGCTTTTATTTGAAATTAATTATTAAATAGAAACATTTTCTGTCAAAAATGAATATTTTGATATTGGGCAGGGTGAGGTTCTTTGCAATGTTGTGGTTCAGTATTTAAGGAACAAATATGTGGCAAAAATGAGTCCTGTGCGCACCATAAACGTGCGTGGAACTTTCATATAGTAAACTGAGAAAAGCAAGAGCAGACTGTTCTCCATGAGAGTGTGTGTTATGGTGACACTTGGTGTTTCTGTAACACTATCTCATTTTTGCTGCAGCAATATTGAGTGCATGTGTCAAATCCTCTGACAGCTGTTAGGTGACGTTAGTTGTTACTTGGGTAGTGTGAAAAGCAGCCTTAAAAGGATAGGCCGTACTCCTCTGTGAAACCAATCTGGCCTCTCTTTGTCTAGGGAGAAAAAAAGGGCATACCTGAAACCAGATACTTTATCTTGCAATGGAAGTCACTCCTGTGGCTTGAACACTTCATAGAAAAGGGTATTTAAGAAAAAAAAATACACTTCCCTCTTGAGGAATGAAACTGTTGTTTAGGAAACAACAACAGAAAAACAAACAAACAAAAAAAAACCCAGAACAGTTCCCAGAATAAACAGAAGTGTAAAAGGAGTCTCATAACCTAAATGGCAAGAAAGGAGAGCAGCCTCCACTGTGTAAGGGGAGGCCAAGCCCCTGTGACACAGCAGTGTTTCTAAAACACAGTGAGAGTTTGAGTCCTGACATAGAAAGCTGGAGACAGTGTTGGTAGCTGACTGGTATTCAGACATTTACA